CTCTGTGCCCTTCTGTGTTAAATTAAACTTTAATGTACCCATACATCTTTTAAAAGGTGTTATATACCAGCAGTATAGCCTAAAAGTGACATCCCTCAAAAATATATATAATTATATACCATCAATATAGTCTAAAAATCACATCACTCAAAAACTATGGGTAAAAGCAAAATTTGAGTGCAATTCTGAAATCAGGATTTTAAATGGAAGGCAGCCTTTAGTTGTTCTGTGACAAAATCTTTGTTGACCAATGTCATGTGACAAAACAGTGTATGGAAAACTGGGGGGCCGCTCTCGCCTCTTACAGTGAAGTTAGAGGTACAGCCCAAAGACCTGGACTTGGTAACGCGAGGCACTCTTGAATATTGAGTAAGGAAATTTTATCTGAATTCCAGAAAACATTTGTGAGATGTTAGTAACGGGGGAAGGAGTCTTTTAAACTTAGTTGTACAGAAGTGAATAAATGATATTAACTTGAGGGGGGGTGTACTTAAGCACTAAAATGAGGTGTGTAAACTCAAATGAATGGCTTCAGAGTGGCCATTTTTGCTTAAGCATTCTCAGATTGCATTGTCTACATCTAAATATATGCTGGTTTTTTTCCCCCGTAGAATTTTTTCCCCTGTGACATGGGACCGTCGGAAATGTGCAGAAGTGCCCCTCCTTGTGGAGGGACAGAAAAAGGCAGCATGTTCGCCTTGAAGACCGCGGACATCAGGAACGGCACCCGATTGGTCGAATTGTGGAATTTTTCTGACATTGTCAATTTACAGCCTCTCACCGAACGTGGCTCACATTGGTTAGTTTATTTTATTTTAGTTGTGCGATGCCTAGTTGCCTGTGCAGGGACACAGGAAGGAGACGGCCCTGTGTACTTAGGAGAAGCATTCTGGGGGCCTTCTGTGGGACCCAGTGTTAATTGGAGTGGGGTAGTTTCAGAAATTAATGCAGGCTAGGGGCTGGTCATAAATGCGGTTTAGGTAACAGCCACACGCCGGCAGACCCTGGTAAGACTCAGATCAGCTTGAGGATGACTCCTATCACCTGGCTTGTTTTTTGTCTGGTACTAAAAGGCCATAAAAAAAACATTATGCTGGTGTATTTGTTAGGTACTGCATTTAGACCAGAATCAAGCATCTGTTACAAAAACTGCTTTTATATTTTTTAAGGTATTTTTTTTTAAGACTTAGTAATGGATAATTTTGAGGTGGCTTTGGAATGATTGAGATTTCTCCATAGATATTCAGGCATTAAAGTGTGATATTTGTATTCTTAGTGGTGCATTTTTGGGTGGCTTAGTGGGTCGAGCTGTTTGAATCCAGTCTCTCTGACGCGTGTGTTTGCATGTTCTCCCTACATCGTGGGCGTTTCCAGTTACTCTGGTTCTCTCCTACCGTCCAGAAACATGCAGGTAGGCCAGCGATTCTCAGCCCAGCCCTCGGGGGGCCTCCCGGTCATTCACATTTTTGCTCCCCCTGAGCTTCCGATACACCTGTACCGGGTTCGATGTCCATGATTGTTTGGTTCTGTTGTGCTGGGAACCGAGAGGGAGGTCATCTGGAGGAAGGGAGGGGGGTGGCGACAGCAGTAGTTTTTATTTGGTCATTTTTAGGGGAACCCCCCCCCCAGGCATATTTTTTTTTTTTTTTTGGGGGGGGGGGGGGGGTCCCTGAGACCCAGATCACCCTCAGTTTGAACGCTGGGCTCCAGGCCCAGCTATGGTCCTCCCTAGGATAAGCAGAGAATGAAATAAACTTACATGACTTAAACTGACTTACAGTAAAACTAACTTAGGCAGATTACTTGAATTTACAAGATACATTGTTTCTATATTTATGCTGATATATTATTTTGTGTTTCATTAGTTGCAAATAATCAGTAAAGCTAACCTATATGAATTTTCATGTATTTCACTAAATAAAATGTTTCTCAGATTGAGTTGGAAACTGATTGCGTCCCTTCTGTCGTATTTGACTTGTTGTACTTCAGATAAAGGAGAATTGCTACAAACGTGCACTGTCAGAATAAAGGGTACAGCCCTGGTACAGGTTTGTACCCCAAGGTACAAACAACATTAATGTACCCCCAGTGGGACAAAAATGTTCCTCAGAGTCCATTTCAGTATATTAAAAGGTAGGCACTTGTACCTACAGCTACGGTGCAATTAGCAGACCCTTAAGGGTACAGCAATTATACCCTCAAAGGTACAAATTGGTACTTGTTTTCTTACAGTGTTTGGGAAAGAAGCTTAGGAATGCGAAGTATTCAAAGTATGCCCCCCCCCCTGCAAAAAAATTTTCACCAAAACAAAAGCAATGCCAGACTGATGCTGTTTACATTTTCACACCTTCCGTGGACTTAAGTGCTGAGCCGGTAGCTGCAGAATCCCATTGGGGGGGGCTGGCAGGCAAATTAGATGGTGTGATTAATATCGTTCTACGGAGATGCATGGCATTTGATTTCCTCCTTTCGGGGCAACAGTGCATCAGAAAAGCGCTGACTCACATTAAATGTAAATATACCTCGGGGAGGGACACTTAATCTTCGCTGACAGGAGGAGGGCCGCTGAATACTCCGAAGGTTAGCAAATCTCGTCTCTAACTTAAAGCGGGGAAACTTGAAAATAAATAAATGTCCTCAGACCAAGTCCTCTTTCAATAACCTCCTCAAACATGAGTCTAGGCTTTTATTATAGTTTCAGAGAAGAAGCTTTGATCCGAAGTAAATTGCATTTTTCCTCCCAATCAGTTGGATATTTTACTAAAGGTCTTTCCCCAGTGGGTATTGGCGCTTTTTAATCATGAGCCTCTTGGTTACATTAATCACTGGTGGCCTGAACCTCTTTTCTGTCTGTTAAAATTGAACACGATAATAGTGATCTTTTTTCTGCAAAGGCTTTAGCTTCTCCCTTCCCTCCAAAATTCCTGCAGGATATAACTTTACATTTCTCACGGACGCTTTTATCCGAAGGCAGATGGTACATTGGCAGCATACAGCCATCAAGGGGTCAGCTGGGTTCATCAGCTTCCACAAGGGACCAGGTCAGGGGTTGCAGATGAAGACGGAGCAGGTCGGCGGTCGGAGGACTGGGCGATGGGTTCCGGGGAACGGATGGGTCTTGAGGGATTTCTTGAAAGTTGAGGTTCTGACGGCCGGATGTGGTCGTGGAGTTCATTCATTGACAAACCACGCGGGAGAAACACCTAGGCTTCTCATATGGTGGAGGAATCTTCAGGTGGTGTTAGCAGTGAAGATATGAAATCCTATGGTCATTGTAGACCTTTGGCCATTAACTAGATATGCAGGAGTATTTATTTATAACTGCTTTGGTGTGAATAGAAGCATTCCAACAGATCTAAGCACCCGGGTTTCCTCTACCTAATAATCCCCCAGTCAACTATTGAATAGTCTCCATCTCGATCTGTGTCTCTTAAAGCAGTATTGGAGATGGAAATAGCTGATCTTTGCCCATGCGAATTTGCCAGTAGCGTAGTCCTAATGTTTGCAGCGGTGGGTTGCATCGGTAGTATAATTATAGGGGAATGGCAGGGACAGATGGCGCAGGCGAGACATTTAGCGGCCGCGGTCCCCATGAGCTCTGTAAGTGCCTCACCACGCTCCGCCATTCGCGAGGCCAACAAGAGAAGGACACAGAATAATGATCGGTGCCATCCATGGGACCAGCCGGCTTGTTCACATCTGGGAGGCAGCATGGCTAGTTAACATGGACAGAATATGGTCTAGCAGATGGAGGTGCTGTGTTTCTGCTTTAAGTTAAGAGGGCAAATTTAATACTGCCTGCCAGTATCACTCTACTCTGCGGCTCTTGAAAACTACTACCGGCATGAATTTTCCGGATAGTCTCTGTATTATACTACCCGTAATATTTCCTTTAATAGGTTTATCTATAATGATTAACAAGAGAAATTATTAAACAGAGAAAGACCACAGAATATTAAATTGCTAGCATTTTTCTCAGTGAATCGGTTCACCTTAAGGGACTATTAAAGCATTCATATTCTTAATTAGCGATTAGCACAGTTTCTCAAAATCCTATTAGTGAATAACGTGCATATTAAGACTGCATTTCTGGTATGTGAATAAAAATTCACCAAAGGTCTTTTTTATATAACAAGGTCAAATTACTTGCTTTATATGTTATGTTGCATTTAATCTGCAGCCATCAGAAGTTTGTTTATGTATTGAAGGAATCCTTGGATATTTTGGAATAAGTGGTTATGGGATTGCTCCTAATAGAAGACATGCTTTAGGTCTTAATAGAATTGGCCCCACATGGTCAAGTAGAGGAAAAGCATGAATTTACTCACTAGGAAGACTACAGGATGTTGAACAGCACCATTACGAACATGGAGCTACATACAAGCCACACAGAGGTGGTGATTTAAGGTTTTATATTACTAAATATTAGTTTCAATAGAAACTGTCGTTGTTATTCCATATTTTATTTTTGTTGTATCTATAAAGGAGCAGGAGTTTGCAGGTTCCAGGGCTGACTTGGAAGAGGGAAATAAAGGAGAAATAACTGAATAAGATGTTGTTGTGGGGACTCCTCTGGGTACTCTGGTTTCCCCCCACAGTCCAAAAATATGCCAGTATGAATTGGAGTTGCTAAATTGTCTATTGGCGTGAACGTGTGTGTGAATGGTGTGTGAGTGTGCCCTGTGATGGGGTGGCGCCCCATGCTGGGTTTTTCCATGCCTTGCGCACGATGTTTCCATGACCGGTTCAGAAACCCTATGACCCCGCAGGGGGGGGGGCATGGAAAAAGAATGAATGAATGTACAAAGCAGGCAGTTCAGCTTAAAGCAGATTGTATGCAGCATTATGTGTTCCGGACTGGTTTGGTCTCATCCCACTAGTTTTATATTTAGGTTGTGTCTTTCTAAGCTTATTTTTCCAGCCATACATTTCCACAGTTTTTACCATGTTATATGGGTGCATCTATATCTGCAGTTTACAGCACAAGAGCAGGAGTCATTATTTTGGCTCTGATTATATAAGGATTGCCAAGCCAAAGCCGCTACTCTCACACAGATTACATCGCTGTTATCAAATGTGTTAAGAATGTTTTCTAGGAATCTCGAGCTGAGATTGGCTTCATGTCCTTTTCCAGTGGTCATGATCCCAGTACGGTGAAGCACCCACCCGACCTCCTGCGGACATGTCAGGTCCTGCCTACGCAGATTCCAGTTTGCCTGTCACTCTCCTGAACGTTCCTCAGGCCTCCGTTGATGAGACACTGCAGTCCCCAGGTCTTGGGCTGCAGCATTAGTCAGAAACAAGGCATTTTGGGGCCTAGGTGGATCTGAAGCAGCATCCAGACAAGAGAAGTAGCCTTTACTCCTGACAATTCCATTGACCGCGAGGCCGTTTTCGGATTCTGACCCGTGGCTTGTTCGCTGTGCTCGCGTTACGGCGGGGCCCCTCCCGTCCCCTGCCGATGGCACGTCCACGGCCGCGGCGACCCGTTTGTCACTGTCCCGTAATTTATTCATAGCTGTGACTGCAAGAAAAGGATCGATACGTTCTGACGGAGAAATGAGTAAGTGTGAGGGGCATGCAATACATCCATCTTTGGACTGGGAGAGTAAACAGTGGAAACAGCCCTGGAAGTGATATTGAGGTTGAACAGGCCACGCCAACAAGCTGCTTCATTTCACATACGGTGCCTTGGTACATCAATTTAACTGTTTCTCTTCCAGACTCGGCTGCGCCTGGGAGAGAAAACGCAGACACATTTTTTTTCTGCTTGCCCCTCCCTGACAAAAGCACTGGGTTGTACATGCACTCTAGGAGAAAAAGAAATGGCTAGAGAGCACGAAAAATATGCACAATGCCAAAACCTTGCCAGGGATCTTAGATTTTTGTATCGATTGTGTTTGATCTCTTATAATCAGTGAATTAGTGAATGACTACAGATGCTCAGTTACAGTTCAGGATAAGTATTTACAGAATAGCCACCAGATTCGTCAATAAGTCAAACATCTCCCCTTTTAACCATGCACGTCTTTTTTTTATTTATAAGTTATTATTAGGCAGCATCAAACTATACAGCAAAATTCCAAACTGGTAGTAAAATCTAGGGAATAATAAATATTTCAATAAATATTAGGGGCGCTTTTATTTGTTTATGAATGTTACGTTTGGTTTAGCAGCCATTCTGGAAGCAGATGGACGTGAGTGTACTAGGTAAGTGATGTGGGCGTGTTTTTCGCACAGATGGATGCAGATCCTGTACGACTGTGGCGTTCCCT